TCAGGGACTCACCTCCCCTCACGCTGCTCAGGGACTCACCTCCCCTCACGCTGCTCAGGGACTCACCTCCCCTCACACTGGTCAGGGACTGCTAGAAACAGAGACAGAAAAGGCAAAGAAAGAAAAAGAACAGTCGTAGCAGAGGAGCTCCAGGGTGGAGCATCCCACTGTGCCAACATCTGGCTGTAAACATTGGCAGGGGATGGGCAAAGGACTGGAGAGTTGTGATAGACTTGCAATGTTTCTCAAGTGAAAGTACAGTCACAATGGGCTGAATGGCGACCGGCCCCTGTGCTCTGTGATACTGCACCATTCACTGTGAATGATGAAGCTCATCCCAAGACAGAGAGATAGCGAGAGGGACTCCAGCCACTCACCTCACAATGGGGCCTGTTTACCAGCCTGGCCAGCAACAACTATGTCCCTAGCAAAAATAAATCAATATGTCTCTGGTCAAATTTTGTCTGATCATCCCTGTGGTGCCATAGCATTTCAACAAAGTTGTTTAATTGTGATTTGTTGAGGTAAAGCAAGTGCTGTCCATCATCCTGACATTGTGAAAGTCACTATATAAATGCAACGTAATTCCTTTTGAAGCCTGAGGTACTGGGACTGCACAATGGAACGGAGAATTTAATGATAAATCAAAGATGGTGGAATTCATAAACAAAATCAAATTGCTGGAGAATCTCAGCAGGTCTGGCAGCATCAATGGAGGGAAAGGAGAGTTAAGGCTTTGGGTTCAGTGACCCTTCCTCAGAACTGATTGTAGCTGGGAAAAGGTTGATTTGGATGCTGAAGATGGGGCGGACGGAAGGTGAGGAGTAAGCGATAGGTGGTGATGGAGCCCAGACAGAGAGAACAGCAGTGGGCAGATACAGGAAAGGGTAAGAGTCAGCCTGTGAGAATCAATAGCTGCTAATGGGGTCTGTTAGCAGCTGACAATGTGTTGTTGGGGCACCAGAAAGGAGACGCAGGATAGGTCATACTGGGGACTATGACTGGGTGAGAATGAATGAGTGTGCTGAATACAGCCTATATTGTGGCAGGGTGTGGGGTGTGGAGGCATAAAGGGCGTGGAGGAGAAATTGAAGAGATAACCTTTCATTTTGATTTTGAAAGCTTTCACTCCTTGATGTTGGTGGAAATAAAGGCTTGCTAGAGATATTTTGATGAGGAACTGAACATTTTGTTTGTGAAAATGTTGTTACGTAACCCAGAATATTTTTGAGGAAGACTCCCACGCACTTGCTGGTGCCTCTCAGTCACTCCTCCATTTCTGGGGTCATGATTTCTGCTTGACAGCGGAGGCCTATGAGCGGAAAGTATGTGAGTTCCAAATCAACTCTTCAGGGATATTTGTGTTGGAGAATAGAACATTACAGCAACAACAAACAGATAAGCACTGCCCCAGTCAGGCAACTCAATGGTAAAAAGTTAAAGCTGCCAAAGTCCTACAGCATTGTAAGGCTGTTCTCTCATTAGAGAGAGAGATGACTGGTGGTGGTTCTTCCTGAGGGTCACCGTGCCTCAGGTGAGGGTGGAGGGTGAGAAGGAGAGTCTTTCATGGTAACCTTAGCCAGTTGAACCCATACTGTTGGTGCCATTCTGCATTGCAAACCAAGATGCAGAATATTACAGCCTGTATAGTTTCCCAACAGTTGACAGCCTCAGCAGAACGATAGCTACTTGACCACCATGATTCTCTGTCCAGTCTTCCCAATGCCTCTCTGGTGTCATTTGGATTGAATGAACGTTATTGGAAATTGCCTTCATACCATGCAGGTTCCTTCCTTCTGAAGGTGGGGATGGTTGGAGGGATCACTCCACATGGTTGAACATAGAACTTCAACATTCTGCTTGGATATAGAGGATTCCCCTTCAATAATGACCCCTGCCATAATATCAAGAGACAGCTACGCAATATGATTGCACTCTGTTTCACTGGGAAGGATGTTTGTTTAATGTGCAGCCACTCTTGTTTTGGGAATCCTCTGGCAAATCATTCCGACCTTAGCCGAGCAGGCACATATTTATGTGTTGAGAAACACAACCCTTAAAAGGTGAGCTGTAAATATAAATAAAGGATGATTTTGAAAAAATGCTCATCTAGAAAAGAACAAATCCAGTGCTTTTCACTGCATCTCGATACATGTGACAATAATAAATCAAATCGAATAGCTCCAGAATAGTCCCTTATTCAGTCTGAAGACCACTGTTGTAATATGAGAGGTATATAACTTTAATGTGGTGTATCAAACTGCAGTAAATCATTATTTACCTCAACAGGGTATGCTGTATTAGTCCAATGCTGTACTGGCCAGCCATTCTCAAAGCAGTACTCAAGGTCAGATGTACTGCGTGTAACTCCCTTTGAATGTTGTCTGTAACGAGCCATATCTTCAAAGAAAGCCCCACGTTTTTCATTCCCAATCCTTATGTGTGTTGGGTACTTTCACATCTGAAAGAAAAACCTAACATGATATCAGGTGGCTGTTTCTGAAGATTTTCAGATGCACCATTCATAACAATCATCTATTGTTTATAGAGTCACAAGAATTCACAACACTGCACTGACCAAGAATTAGCCATGCCTAATCCCACTTCCCAGCTCCGACTTGTAGGTTATGCCACTTCAAATGTATCCAAGTGTTTGTTTAAACGTGATGGAGATTTCTACCCATACTGCTGAAGCAGCAAGCTTCAGATTCCAACCACTACCTCAGTGAAAAGGTACCCCTCAAACCTCCCAAATTTTACCCTAAATCCATGTTTCTTGCCTATGGGCCAAAAGGAGTAAGACCTTTAAATTCACTCCATCTAGACCTCATCATCACAGACCTGCACATCAGTTAGGCTCCACTTAGCGTCCTTAATTACAAAGTAAACATCTCAAACCACCACGTTGTGATTCTGTTTTATTTTCATAGAATCCCTACAGTGTGAAAACAGGCCCTTTGGCCCAATAAGTCCACACGAACCCTCAGAGCATCCCACCCAGACCCGTCCCCCTATAACCCACCTAACCTACACATCCCTGAACAGTACGGGGCAATTTAGCATGGTCAATCTACCCTAGCCTACACATCTTTGGACTGTGGGAGGAAACCGTAGCACCCAAAGGAAACCCACACATACATGGGGAGAATGTGCAAAGTCCACACAGACAGTCACCCGAGGGTGGAATTGAACCTGGGTCCCTGGTGCTGTAAGGCAGCAGTGCTAACCACTGTGCCACCCTTTTAGTTTATTCTTTCATGGGATGAGGACATCTCTGGCAAGGCAAACTTATTGCCTATCCATCAAGAAGGTGGTGATGAGCTGAATTGCAGTCCATGTGCTGTAGGTAGACCCACAATCCTTGAGAGATGGAGTTCCAGGATTTTGGTTCAGTGACATTGAACGAACAGCAATATATTTCCAATCCAGGATGGAGAGGCACGGTGGCTGAGTGGATAGCACCGCTGCCTCACACTGGGTTCAATTCCAGCTTCAGGACACTGTCTGTATGGAGTTTGTACATTCTTCCTGTGTCTGTGTGGGTTTCCTCCCACAGACCCAAAAAAATGTGTAGGTTAGGTGGACTGGCTATGCTAAAATTGTCCATTGTGTCCAGCAATGTACAGGCTATGGGAAATGTAGGGAATGGGTCTAGATGAGATGGTCTTCAGACAGTTGGTATGGACTCAACGGGCCAAATGGCCTGTTTCCACACTGCAGGAATTAGGTGAGTGGCTTGGAGGGGAACTTGCAGAGGGTGGTCCTCCCATGTATCTGCTGCCCTTGTCCCTTCAGTAAGCTCCAACAGTCATTGCTGAAGAAGTTCACAAAATATCTTGTTGTTGCAGAGCTGGGAGGATTTCTTGCAGAATTTTAAAGGGCTGTGGTCTTTGTGGGAACAAATAAATAGGCATTTTCTTTTAAGTTTCAGGACAGAACAATAGCTTGCATTTTTGTGGTGGATCTTCATTTTGGAGGACGTTGCAAAATGAGCAGGAAGGATTTAACATCCTTGTTGAAGGTAGGATTTGAACACATGACCTCAGAACAATAGCTTGGGCCACTTGATTGCTACTTTAGATGAATTATCACCGTACTGTTGTCTCTGTCTGTTACCTGTGACAGTGCTAATGTCTAATGTTGAATCCTGTCTCTATCCAGACTGTAATACCTTGGTTTAATGCTGAACAATGTGAAACTTGGACCCACTATGGATGGCACAGGATTTTGAGAATGATGGGCACAGAGGAAATGTCACTTCACATGGCACCTTAGCTTGTGCCTCCCAGTCTAGCACTGCATCAGTTTGAAAACCCACACATTTATTTTCACATTCCTGCACGACCCTGCCCTTCACTATCTCTCTAGTCTCCTCTAGGCAATCAACCCTCGGAAATTTCTCCTTTCTTTCCATTCTGGCTTTTTGAACTGGGGGAGGTGATGGCTTAGTGGTATTATTGCTGGACCATTAATCCAAAGCAAAAACAGAAGTTACTGGAAAAGCTCAGCAGGTCTGGCAGCATCTGTGAAGAAAAAATCAGAGTTAATGTTTCGGGTCCGGTGACCCTTACTCAGAGACCCTGGTAATATTCTGGGGACCTGGGTTTGAATCCTGCCATGACAGATGGTGGAACTTGAATTCAACAAAAAAGAGTCCAATGATAACCATGAATCCATTGTCAATTGTTGGAAAAATCCATCTGGTTCACCAATGTCCTTTTGGGAAGGAAGCTGCCATCCTTCCCCAGTCTGACCTGCAATGTGACTCCAGACCCACAGCAAAGTGGTTGAGTCTTAACACCCCTCTGAGCAATTAGAAATAAAAGCTGGCCCAGTCAGTGATGCCCTCATCCCATGAATTTTGTTTCTCCCTGGCTACAGGCTGTATCTTTGGTGGCCTGAGCTCCAAGCTCTTGAATTCCCTTGTTAAACCCTCACTCACAACTCTTTATAAGAGCTACCTCTTTGAACAAGCTTTGGCTGTCAGTTCTTGGATTTCCCTATCCCAAACCGCAGGAGCTGCTCGTTTGAAAGGCCAACACTAAGGGGCTGAATGGCCTCCTCCTATGTTGTAACCCTTCTGTGATTTTGCAGGCTTGGTCATCAAACACATTTGAGGCTGAGTTTCTTCATTCATTCATTGGTTGAGGGTGTCGCTGGCTAGGCCAGCATTTATTAGCCATCCCAGAACGCTGTTAAGGGTCAACCAAATTACTGTGGGTCTGGAGTTACATGGTTAGTCCTGTAGCTTTTTTTCCTGAAAGAACATTAGTGAACCAGATGGGCTTTTCCTGATAATCAACAATTCGCGGTCATCATTAAATTCTTCATTCCAGGGTTCTATTCAAATTCTATTTTAAATTCAAATTCCTCCATCTGCCGCGGCAGGATTTGAACCCATTAATCTCTAGATTAATAGTCTAGTGATAATGCCACAAGGCTATTGCCTCCACAGTTAGACAGATCAATGATCAACAAAGGCATTTAAGGTTTAATGGGAGGGAAGTAAGTGAAGAATACAGAATTTAAGGCTACAAGCATTTCAGTCATGACCTTACGGAATGGCATAGCAGCCTTGATGGGCTGAATGGTCCACTCTTGCTCCTGTTTTGCATGGCTGCGATCACATGCTGGCATGTGTTGGAAGTGCTTCAGATTATTCACTGCTCCTCATTATAAAACCAACATAGGCTTTTGGGCATCAGTTGAGGGTAGCATTGGTTTGGGATGTCTGCTTTTTCCTGTGTACTATTCAGCTCACACTTACTCGCAAACTGTAGACTTGAAGAGTGATTGTTGGTCTGGTCAGTGATGGGGAGAATGGGGTTTATGTTCCTCCTCTTGCTCCCACTCTATGGAAAGATGAGAAGATGTGTCAGGAAAGATAATTGCCTTGGAGCCAGGAGAGGAGAGGGGACAGGAAGGAAGCAGTGGTCATGTACCATCAGTACTTGCTGATGTTTGGTATTTGTTACTCTAAGTTTCTGAAGAACACAGTACACAGCTCTATTAATAGATCTGGTCTGTCACAGTGTTCAGCAGAATGTGTTGGCTGTGCCTTCGAAATGCAGATCTTGTTTCTCGCTCTTTCCCTCTCTGAGTGGACTTTTTTTTTGGCTTGAAGGATAAAAGGTCATTTGTAGGAAGGAAACGTATCACATGGTCACCAAAAAAGCAGAAACAAACGTTCTGGTCCTGTTCCCCGCCGCTCCAACCCCACCCCCCCTCCCCGACATCCAAAATTGGCAGGGATGGGGGAGTCTGTGTAGATTTTGTAAACACCCACCCCCATCCAATAACTCAGGCAATGCCTCCCTGCCTGACAGTGCCAATCACAGGCAGTCCATTTGACTACAGGAGGATGGTGTCCATATCAAACCAGTGCCCACAACCTCTCACACTGAACATGAGCAGGATCCAGGTCTGATTCCTTCACCTTCCATTATCCCTGACCATCGATATTGAATACCACTATTTTTTTTTCCTTTATTTATTCACAGGATGATGGTATTGCTGGTGAGGCAGCATTTATTGCCCATCCCTAATTGTCCAGAGGGCAGTTAAAAATCAACCACATTGCTGTGGGTCTGGAATTGCATGTAGACCAGACCAGGTAAGGATGGCAGTTTCCTTCCCTGAAGGGCAGATGGGTCTTTCCCCCCAACAATGAACAATGGACAATGGACTCATGGTCATCATTAGATTCTTAATTCCAGATATTTATTGAATTCAAATTCTACCATCTGCCATGGCAGGATTCAAACACAGGTCCCCAGAACATTATCAGGATCTCCAGATTAACAGTCCAGTGATAATACCACTAGGCCATTGCCTCCCCATTGTCCGGGCCATTGTCTCAAGTGCCCATACCCAGTGGTCAAAAGTGAGCTGCTTGATCTTTTCAAGTTGCAGGTCAGGACATGGCCTGGAGGCTGGGGGTTTGTTAGTTCAGTTAGCTGGATGGCTGGTTTGCAATGCCTGTTGATGCCAACAGTATAGGTTCAATTCCTGCACCAGGTGAGGTTACAAATGAATGCTTTGCCTTCAGAATGTCACCCCTTGGGTTAAACCATCCCTGATTGTGTCTCTTTCTCTAATAAGAGACTAGCCTATGGTCATCTGAGACAATGGCAATTTTACCTATCCTGACAGGATAGAATTTGCAACAGAACATCTCCTGCACTAACTGGTATACATGTTTTTTAACTGTGTCATAGTTGGTGGCACTTTCTTCAGGGGAGAGGAGGCAAACTTCATGTGCTTTCCCTGAAAACATTCTCTGCAGAAATAAAGACCGGTGTTAAACTGGCCACTTTAACCGCTCTGCTACCTGCTTGCAAGACAGAAAGACCACCCCTGCCTCCTCAGACAGAGTAATTAAATGAGTGAACCAAGTGCTTTTATCCTTAAGGCTGAGCTAGTGGTGTTTTCATGGGACACGATCATGGTCCTGCTCCTCAGCTTGAGCTGTTTTTGTTCATATCCCCTTTCCTGTTGTGTTTCCTGATATTCTCTCTATTCCCACGCTGCTCTCTCCTCCCTTTCCCATTGTTGTAAATTCTACCAGAGTTTCTTGTGGTAACAAAAGGGTGAGGTTTATTAAATATTCAATATGAAAAGAAAGAACAAGACAACACACAGACACAATGGTTAGGATTAAGAAGTGAGTCTGAAAAAATTAACAATATACGGCTCAGTCTCTCTGTATGGTTCATGAATAATAGAGAATGGAATGTTGCTGGTCGAATGATCGATTTCAGGAATCTTGGCTTTCCAATTTAATTATAAAGCTTTTGTCACGTTTCTATTTGATGGTGGCTGGCAGCACTCAAGAGTAAGAGGAGCCTGTCTGGCATACTGGCTAGTTGTTGTCTAGCGAATAGAGTGAGTTTGTCATTTTACCTGTGATGCAGGGGTGACGAGTGAGTGGTCCTTCGATGATGGTCTTCACAGCACACTAAGCCACAAACACAGGCTATTTTACATGCTATCTCAGTTACCAGCACACATTCTCCCATTAGTACGCACAGTTCAGGGCTGACACCCTTTCTAACCCCTTTTTTAAATATATTCCTGGAAGGGCAAATGCAAAGGATGTCTGCAAGACGTAATGTTCTGCTGATAAGAGAAAGGTAGACTCTGTACCACATCAATGTAGCAGCATTTTTTTTTTAATTTGCTGGCCTATTGAACTCAATATTTCTGTCAAACTATAGAATTCTTCACCACAGCTTTAAATTGCATTGCTGATTGCTATGATTTACTGCTTTCAATCTCTTTAAATCTGTGCCTATGTAATACTGAATCTCTGTACTGCTGGCTGGGTTTTCCTACCTTTTCCAATGATTGATATGCTGGCTACTGACTTCTTTTAGGTTTATTGCAGCCAAGGTAGAGTTTTCGCGCTTCTTCTCGAGTAAAACTGAATGAGACCTTATGCCCATATTTTGATAGATTAAACCTAGGTTTAGAGAGACAATATTTAATCTGACTCTCCAGGGCAGTACTGAAGGCAGCACTGTCAGAGGTGCTGTACTTCAGATGATATTGTAAACCAAGGTTACATCTGCCCCACTACGTAAAAGAATCTACTGTATAATTTGAGAACAGAAGATCAAAAGAAGGCTGTTTGGACCCTCGAGCCTGCTCCATTATTTAATGCGATCATGGCTGATCCAACATTCCTCATGTCCACTTTCCAACCCTATCCCCATAACCCTTGATTCCCTGCGTAATCAATAAGCCATCTATCTCAGCCTTAAGTATACACAAGGGCTCTGCCCCCACAGCTCTCTGTAGCAAGGAGTTCCAAAGACTCACAACCCTCTGAGGGAAGAAATTCCTCCTCATCTCAGTCTTAAATGGGTGTCCCTTTATTCTGAGACTATGCCCTCTGGTCCTAGACTCTCCCATGAGGGGAAACATCCTCTCAGCATTTACCCTGTCAAGCCCCTTAAGAACACTGCATGTTTCAAAGAGATCACCTCTCATTCTTGTAAACTCCAGTGAGTAGAGTCCCAACCTGTTGAATCTTTGCTGATAAAACAATCCCTCCATAGCAGGGATCATCCTAGTGAACCTTCTCTGAACTGCCTCCAATGAAATTATATCTTTCCTTAAGTAAAGTAAATACTTTCAAAGAAGGACTGGGATTCTGTATCAGCAGCTGCGACAGATGTTCAGTTCTCCATAAGAGCTGAACATTGAACAAGGTACATAAGAGACAGCCCAGGAAATACTGTCCACAGTGAGTTTCTGTTCTGGTAAATCCTGAGTAGGAGGAAAATAAGTCTCGCTGTGAAATTGCTTCCAGTGAGCACTTTGGTTCAGAGTTTGAGAGTTCGAAGCATCTCAGTCTTAATGACTCTTGCTTATGCCTGACACTTTGTAAGAGGAAGGCCCATTTCGTGGGCCTTAGATAACATCCTAAAGAGTTTTGATACATTTGTTCAATTCCTTCAAGACCTGATCTTGCGACCGAAGAATGGAGCACGCAGCGGGGTAGGGGGGGGGGGGGGGGGTGGCGGGGGGGGGGGGGGGGGGGGGAAGTGGTGGGGGGGTCCTGTAACATGACTTGCTCCCTTTATTGGACACAGCCGAGCAGTTAATTGTGTTGACATACTCTAATTACCGGTGCAACAGTCGTGAAAGAGTGCAGGCCTTACTCTGCCTTAGCCTTTCCAAACACAGACGGAAGAGACAGCTTCAAAGATGGACTCGGATTTGGAACGAACTTAAAGGTGCCACGAAGTAACAGGACTCACTCCAAAGTGTCTGTTTCTGACAATTTCAAGCCGCATCACTGGAGGCTAATATAACAATTGCCCTTACATATGGAGCCCAGTTAAAACGCTGATGTGATGTGGAGGGAACGGTGTATTGAACCAATTTAAACATCTCAAAATGATACATCAGCAGAATGTTACAGACTTGATTGAGACCTTTTGGCCAATTGTACCTGTGCTGGCTCTTTGAAATGCTATCCAATTAGTCCCACTGCACCCCACTGTCAATAAGGTAGATCTGCAAAAACCTTTTTGTCTTATTAAAAAGAACAGTAAAATGTCATAAGTATTAATGACAATGGGGTGGCACTGTGGATCAGTGGTTAGCACTGCTGCCTCACAGCGCCAGGGACCCGGGTTCAATTCAACCCTCGGGCGAATGTCCGTGCGGAGTTTGCAAGTTCTCCCCGTGTCCGGGTGGGTTTCCTCCCAGAGTCCAAAGGTGCACATGTTAGTTGGATTTGCCAAACTGAATTGCCAATAGTGTCCAGGGATGTGTAGGTTAGGTGGATTAACTATGGGAAATTGCAGAGTTACAGGGATAGGGTAGGGGACTGGGTCCAGATGGGATACTCTTCAGAGAGTCAGTCTGGACATGTTGGGCTGAATGGCCTGCTTCCACACTTTTGGGGTTCTATTCCATGATAAAAGAATTTAGTCAAGGGGAATTATTGCTGAAAACATACATTTAATGTGATTTATTGTTGTCACATGTACCTAAGTACAGTGAAAAGTTTTGTTTTGTGAGCAGTACAGGCAGATCATAGCAAACAAGGACATACAGATCATAGGGTGCTTAGACAGAGCGAAGCATGCAAGGTTACAGCTGCACAGGAGGTGAATAATTTTACAGACTTAGAATTGAGGTTTCAAAGTGCAGGACGATTGTAAGAAATGTGAGAATAAGATCTGCCATAGACAGCCCACAAAAAAGCGCCCTGTGTTAGTGCCATCTTGAATCTGGAGTCTGTTGCTGGAGATTTTTGTCTGATACTCATCAGGACAATTGCAAGAATGCCAAATATTAAATGTTCGCAGCAACTTATACTGCAGGTAAAGAGGCCGGTGATTGGTTGGTAAGTTGACTCTGACCGGTCAAGACATTGCCACAGGCCAATCAGAGTGGATGTGCCAATCAATCAATGCCCTTTCCTCCTGTAGTGCAAACCACTGCAATCATTTTGAAATTTGGTCTTCTTGCGTTTGTCCTGTTGGGGATAGGATAAAGAATTGCAGCATTTTTCAGCTCTTTCCAACAAGGGTTCAGGCTCTGTGTTACAAATGAGAAGTAGTTGACAGATAATTATTTGATTGAGATGTTGCTGCTTTTGTTACAACTGGTCCCTTGAGTGCAAAAGTTGCTCTACAAAAAGTAACGCTGGGGAGGGAATTACAAACCCCTACCTACCGTTTATCTTGTGAGCCAGTAGTGCAGCAATCAAACCTTACTGTGAGCTGAGATGGGACAAAGGGGGAATGGGGTGTTCACCATTACCTCAGCCTGCTCCTGAGCTCCCCAGCTTCACAGACACTATTGTCCCTGGTGAGAGAAAGCACTTTATCAGCAACGAAACATAGTAGACTGCCAGGAGGTCGTGGAAGGTGCTACGTGAATGCCAGTTCAGTTCATTTTCTGTTTTACAACAAGACTGGCACTGCCCCAATGCCAGCCCTAGCTGTGGGATGATTTGCCGGCCCCTTTAATTGGTTAGTTGGGTTGTTATGGTGATCTGGTGTAATGGGACTGGTAGCTGCCTTTTACCTGGCACTTGGCAAACTGGGTCATACCTGCTGCTTGTACAGATGACATGCTATTTTTTTGCTCTGGCGTATAATATGATAACGAGACCACAATGTACTTTGAGCCAGTCACAGGAAATGGAGAAGGATAAAGCAACAAGATTAAAAAATAACTGCTCGAAGTGAAAGAAGCAAGAAACCAGGTGAGAGCCAACATAGTGCTTCTTTAAGAGCAAGTGAGTAAAGAGTCACGTCTACCTTGTCAAAAGAAATTGACTCACCTTCGAAAAGGTTACAGCTTCTATTTTTGTGTTTCACTCGTCGGGGAGTGAGGGTATGAGTCAGTTGCTCCCATGAAGAGAGATCAATAGATTTGGCTCTGTAAGGATGAGTGGTGACTAGTGACAATCCACGGGGGTCTGTTCCAGACATTCTGCAGTTCACACGGCTCATAAATAACACAGAGAGGGGGAGGATTTCTCAGAAATAACTTCCCTGATGATGCTGAGCTGTGTGGCCAGATGAAAGCTCAAAGTGGGATCGATAGCATTCAAAGGAACTGGGTAAATGACTGTGGGAGGGGAGGAGGGTTCAGGGTAGAACAGAAAGAGTTGCATTGACATCACACTTTTCACAGTGTGTCAAGGTACTTTATAAAAGACAAAATACTTTCTAAACTGTCGTTTTGGCTGTTGTGCGGGAAACATATTCGTCTCGTGATGTCTCATGGTATGAAGACCAACATGGGCAAAGAAGCCTCCAGCTGGCTACCACATTGCGTCCTCCTTTGGCTAATGAACCAGGGCTCCTCCATGTTGAACCCCACTTGGAGGAAGCGCTGAAGGCACTTAGCGCACAGAATGTGCTCTAGGTGGAGGATTTCAATGACCATCACTAGGAGTAACTTGTTTGTACCACAACTGTGACAATACCGTGGCTTTAAGAGGTTAGTTTGTCCTGGTGTTTTATTTGAAGAGCGGTTTTAAGGCAGAAGTACCAAGCAGTCTACTAGAAACACTAGAGTAAACAGCTTGTGAGGCTTTTGGTTATTTTTAAAGTTGGAACAATAGAAGCAGCCTGAATGGGTGGGGTCAAACTCCCACAGAACTAGGATCTTTAGTTTAGCTTTCAGCAGTTGCTATTAGGGCCTTGAAGAAATGGAATTTATTTTTTTCCCTCTCTCAGTTGCAGCCAAAAGCTGGGGGTTCTCTGTCTGCTGCGGGAGTTACATGTGAGACAATCTGTTTTCTGAATTTGCCTTTTGCCAAGGGCGTGTTTATGGGATGTTACCATATTGGAACGGTTAATTAGTAACTGGTACTGTATCTATTATTTAGTTAGGCTTTCCATTAGAGTTAAGTTATTCTAATTGCTTCTTTTTTGTTGTATTTTAACTACAGTGGATGAATAAAGAGTGTTTTCCTTTAAATGCGGTTGTATGACCAATTGAATTGCATCTGGAACGCAACACCTTACATCTAACTTTAAAATAAGAAAATGTTATGGTATACACTATCTTCTGGGGTTTTTCTCAGGGGTTTTGGTCTGGTCCATGACACAACTGACCGAATTGGTTGAGTCCCAAATGACATCGCTGCTGGACTGGGTCTGTGGGAAGTGGTAAGGGAAAACCATACTTGACCTTAACGTCTCCAATCCACTGGTCACTGATACGTTGCTCCATGACAGAATTAGTAGAAGTGACTACCACACAGTTATGGCTTCATCTTTAATATTGAGGATAACCTGTATTGTGTTGTGTGGCACTATCACTGTGCTAATTGGAACACGTTTCAAACAGATCTGGCAACTCAAAACTGGACTTCCAGAAGGTGATGTGGGCCATCAACAGCAGCAGAATTCCATTTCGTCACAATCTGTAACCTGTATTTTTGTGAAGAGAAGTGGCAGTTCAGAAAATTAGACAGAATGGTCAGAACCAGTGAAGAATGATCTGGTTTTGTTTCATGTACCTGACTTCACTATCAAGTATACAAGTCTTGCTACAACTGTACATGACATTGATACGATATCATCGTCATTGTCAATCACTCACAAATGAGTATGATTGTCCACCTCAAAAATCCCTTGCCACTGGTCATGGGTTCTGTGGTCCTTATGTGGATGATGGGCCCAATCCTAGAGCTGTATCTCCAACCACACATTTGTGTTTCTGGGAGGTGGAATTAGACTTTGGACTCAACATCCTTGACATTCCTTTCTCCAATTTCTGTTCCAAGCCGCTGGGTGGTGGAAGAATCACGTCATATAAGAGGTTACTCCAAGTCAGATTCTTCCAAATGAGAGTCTCCCAACTTTGACATCTATTTATTGAGGAAAACCTTCAGGAAGTCTTTGGAACACCTATTTTGTCCTTCTCTCATTTGATTGCCTTCCTTGAGCTGGATGAAGATGATTTGCTTAGGCAGTCAGAACTCAGGCATCCTGAAACTGAACCTAAAAGTACTGTGTGCAATTCTGGTCTCTTTATTTAATTCCTCACATTCGAATCAGCTCAGAGAAGGTGCATGAGAGGTTGGCCAGTCTTCCTGGAATCATGGCTTAATTCAAAATGTCTAAGAAATTTGGAAACCTAGAGACTGGACGTTTTTGAGTATTTCACAGGAGATCTAACTGGTGTCATGAGCACAGTATAGTTTCAGTTTGAAACAAGAAAAGATCAGGCAATAAGCCAATTTAGTAAAATGTTAGTTTGTGTAGCTTGTAAACAACAGGAGTGTTTACTTAGAACTTTGCAGGTAATTGGAAGCTGAGAAAGTCTAAGCTCCACATTAAGATTTTTCTAAACTGTTTTCTATTTTCAGATGGCGTGATTTTATTTTTTTCTCCTTTTCCGCAAATAAGCTGTTTTAGTTAAAGAATATCTGCAGCCTTGAGTGATTATGTCTCAGTGGTCACCGCATTAATTTTTTTTAAAAAACATGATCTATCAACGACAACCATGGGTCATAACCATGAGAAATTGGAAGAGGAGTAGGCTGTTCGGCCCACCGAGCCTGCTCCATAATTCAGTAGGATCATAGCTGAACTCACATTCCTCACCTCCACTTTCCTGCTCTTTCCCTGTAACCTTTGATTCCCCGACTGATCAAGAATCTATCTGTCTCAGCCTTAAATAGACACAAGGACTCTGCCCCCACAGCTCTCTGTGGCAAGGAGTTCCACAGACTCACAACTGTCTGAGGGAAGAAATTCCTCCTCATCTCAGTCTTAAATTAGTGCCCCTACATTCTAAAATGATGCCCTCTGGTCCTAGACTTTCCCAAGAGGGGAGACATCCTCTCAGCATTTACCCTGTCAAGCCCCTTAAGAATCCTAAATATTGCAGTGAGATCACCTCTCATTCTTCTCAACTCCAGTGAGTAGAATCCCAACCTGCTTAATGTTTGTTCATAAGTCAATCCCTCCCTATTGGGAGTCATCCTAGTGAACCTTCTCTGAACTACCTCCATCTTTGCTTAAATATATCAGTCTGGGATCAGACTTATCCAGTAGCAACATCAGCTGGGATCATGATGGAGGGTAAATGCTGAGAAGCTTGTGGATGAGCCTTGAGCTAAGCCATACAGTTTTAGGATAAGGGGTCACCCACTTAAGACAGAGAAAAGAAATGATTTCTTTGTCTCAGAGGGTTGCTAAGATTTTCATAGAAACGTCTTCCACAGAGAGCAGTGGAGGATGGGTTCAATGCTGGGCTGGACAGGCTATTGAGCAGCCTTGGGAACAAAAACAAAGTTGCTCAGCAGGTCTGGCAGCATCTGTGAAGGAGAAAACAAAGTTAACGTTTCGGGTCTGGTGACCCTTCCTCAGAACACAAAGGTTATGGGGACAGGCAGTAAAGTGCAGTTGAGCCTACAATCAGATCAACCATGGCTTTTATTGAATGTCAGAGCAGGTTCGAGGGGCTGAATGGTCCACACTGTCTCCTATCTCTTACTTTCTCACTGAACGAAGGGTGAGATGAGGAGTTGTCACACAGTAAGTTGTGTTGATCTGGAATGCGCTGCATGAAAGGGCTATCCAATAGGAGCTTTCAAAAGGGAATTAGGTGGATAGTTGAAAAGAAAAGCACTGCAGGGCGAATGATGGAAAAGGTGAACGTCTTCAACTGAGCAGGTCTCTCAAGAAATGGTCTTCTTCTGAACTGCAACCTCATTAATTAATTAGACCCACGAGAGCAGTGTAATTCCGAAATGAAACGAATAAGCCCCTGTAGAGATTAGACACCACAAGAAATCATTTTCAGAGCTGGGGTGGAAGATCCCCATAAAAAATCTTGGGATCTGTCCACAAAAGCGGTCCTAGAATGATGAATGGTGTTCTTCCAGGGAAAGGAAGTGTTATAATGTTCTGTGATGCCAGGGTAACTCCTGATGGTTTATTGAGGGTTAGGGTGCTGTCACCAGTCCTCTTTCCGAAGCCAGTCGAAGGGGCTGTTGCTACGCCTCACTGAGGCCACGCACTAGAAATCAAACCTCACCAATCCTGGAGTCATCATAAAAGTTAAAGATTTTATAGAAGCACACAAAATTCTCCTACTTCCTTGTCTTTCAGACCCAGGCTGAGAAAAATCATGGACCAGGTTCTGTACTGAACGAAAGTTACTATCTATTATAAATAAGTAGACCCTAGCAACAGTAAACAGGTATGAAGCATTGACATATGACTCTATTAGTTAAAACTCTAATCTCCTTTCATACCCATCCTTACACATACGCACAACAACACATAACACCCACCCGATACACACGCATACACCCACCCACATGTACACACACACACACAGTCACACACATGCATACTGACACACACGTACACACATACAAGGGCACACACACGTGTACACAAACACACACACGCAAATGCACACATTCGCACAA